TTACTCGTTGCATTCTCGATCAGACTCCTGTGATCTTCGGCTCGGTCAAGGAGGGTATCTTGGAGGTTTTGGAGGAGCGATTAAGCTCGTTTCGTTCTGAGATGATGGCTATAGCAGGAGCTCGATCTTTGACATTCAGGGAGTTCCGGGCTTGTGGAGCTCCATACTATCATGGGGAGAAGGACCCCATTGCGAGCATGAGTTGGTTAGCAGATGTTGCTAACGCTTTCCGCACCAGTCGTTGTCCCAAGGGGGACAAGATCATACCAACTTCCTGCCTTCTGAAGGACAAGGCTCGGGACTGGTGGGAGGAGGTTGGTAGCGTTGTGGGTGATGATGCAGTTGATGGGATGACATGGGATGATTTTTCGACCAGGTTTCGAGATGAGTTTGCACCGATTATTGAGGTACAACAGTTGGCGCGAGAGTTCCGGGATCTCCGCCAGACTACTGAGACAGTGGCTGAGATCACCGCCATGTTCAGGGAGAGGGTGCTTCTTGTTCTGTAATATGTGGTGGACGAGGATATGAAGAATTCCTGATATCATGAGATGCTGAGGAGCGACAACCGGCAGTTTGTGAGTCGATCCAGCTTCAAGACACTGGAGGATATGATCGCTCGAGCCAGAGAGAGGGAGATTGACTTGGAGATGGAGAGTAAGAGGAATCCAGATGAGGTTCAGACATCAGGGGGTTCAGGAAAAAGGCCCAAGGTATTGGATTCCAGATCGAGGGGTCATCATACCCGTAGCCGCTGTCGCAAGTGTGGTAGGACGTACGAGGGTGCGTGCAGGAGTGGTAGTGGTGGAGGTTCTAGCTGCTTCAAGTGCGGCCGGATTGGTCATTATAGCAGGAATTATACTGCTACCACCACCCAGGGATCAGATATGAATTGCTTTCATTGCAATAAGAGGGGACACAAGAAGGCCCAATTTCCGAGTTTAGCTACAGCAGTACTGGTGTCAGCACCGGCTCCTGCGACCTTGAGGATTACAGACGACCATCAAGGCCGGACAGATGCACCTGCGGCGAAGAGCAGGGCTTTCCAGCTGATGAAAGAGGAGGCGCGTTCAGCTCCTGATGTTGTGACGGGTATGTATCTTCTCTTTTTTCTCTTTATTTATATTGAATTGTTGCTCATGTTTATATGTTTTATTTAGGACCGTTCCTTGTGAATGGTATCTCTGCTCTGGTATTGTTTGATTCGGGGGCTACCCGATCTTTTGTGTCGCTTGCGCTTAGCAAGAGATTTGATGGAGCTCTGAGGGAGCTAGATCGTCCTCTTGATGTGCAGATTGCTAATGATAGGAAGGTTAGGATTGCGATAGTTCATCGGGATTGTACTCTCCAGTTGTTCAGCGAGCGGTATCCGGTTAATCTGGTCCCCATTCCTCTGCGTGGGAACAAGGTCATCGTGGGCATGGATTGGTTGCGCCCTAATGGGACAGTGATTGACTGTGAGCAGCAGCTAATGCGGGTTCGGACCCCAAGTGGGGGAAAGTTGATAATTCAAGGTAAGAGACCGCACCCTGGGCCGGTTATGTGTTCTGCAGCGAGGGCCAGACGCTACCTTCATCAGGGTTGCTTGGGTTTCATCGCCAAAGTCATGGATACCCGGGATAAGGGTAAGGCGACCGTGGAGGATGTGTCGACCGTGCGAGATTATCCGAATGTGTTCTTGGAGGATTTGCCAGGGGTACCTCCGGAGAGGCAGGTGGAGTTCAGGATTGATTTGGTTCCAGGTGCGGCTCCGATATCCAAAGCACCGTATCGGTTGGCTCCTCCCGAGATGCAGTAGTTGTCTACACAGATGCAGGAGCTGTTAGACCAGAGATTCATTAGGCCGAACATTTCGCCTTGAGGTGCTCCGATTCTGTTTGTGAAGAAGAAAGACGGGTCTCATCGTATGTGTATCGACTACTGGGAGTTGAATAAGGTAACGGTGAAGAACTGTTATCCCCTTCCGAGGATTGATGATCTTTTCGACCAACTTCAAGGTGCATCTTGGTTTTTCAAGATTGATCTGCGATCGGGTTATCATCAGATGCGGGTCCGGGATGAGGATGTGCAGAAGACAACTTTTCGGACTCAATATGGTCATTATGAGTTCGTGGTGATGCCATTTGGGCTCACCAATGCTCCTTCCGCGTTCTTGGATCTCATGAACCGCGTGTGCAGACTGATGATGGATCAGTCTGTGATAGTCTTTATTGATGATATCTTGGTCTATTCCAAGACTCAGGAGCAGCACGAGGAGCACTTGAGGGAAGTGCTAGAGACATTGAGGAGGGAGAGACTTTTTTCAAAATTCTCCAAATGTGAGTTCTGGTTGCGCGAGGTGCATTTTTTGGGGCACCTTGTCAACCATAAGGGTATTCTGGTCGATCCGGACAAGGTTGATGTCGTAATGCAGTGGGAGGTTCCTTGGTCTCCATCTGAGATTTAGAGTTTTCTTGGTCTGGCGGGTTACTATCGAAGATTCATCCAGTATTTCTCCAAGATCGCAGTTCCATTGACCCGATTGACCAAGAAGTCGGTGACATTTCGCTGCGGGCGTTACATTATCTGGTTGGTTGTGTGTGGTACTTTGGGGAAACTCACTAAGCTTTGGCTTACATTTTGATTTTATGGTTTAAGGTACTTAAGAGGACAAGGGAAAGGCGAAGGCTTGATCATGCACATCATCCATGATTTTATGTGTTTTGATGATTTTGGGATACTCTGATTCATGATATGATTTTTGGAAACTTGTTTTGTAAACACTTATGGCTTTGGATTGGTTTCAAAAATGAAAATTTTTACATTGATTTTTTGGATGTTACAATGAATAGTTTCCAAACTTTAGGAACTTGTTGGTTGTTATGATATGGAATCATGCACTCCAAAAATGGAAATATTCTATGGTTATTCAATCAAGTTTAGATTATACCTTGATAGCTTCACAAGAATACACAACAACCACATTGTATTTATTGATCACCTCTTTGCTCTTCACCATAAAATCACCAAATTTGACTACTCGAGGATTTGAAGAGAATATACACATCCATCATTTCCATTTGGCATCGACATCAGTCGTGATTAACTAACTTTGATTAATATGATTATTCCAAATGGACATGTATCTACTAGGTCTGATTTTCATCAACAATTTGTGTAGAGCTCTAACAAGACAATTTGAATAAGTTGAATAAAAATTAGGGACTCTGCAAATCAAAATACTACTCTAATAGGTTTGAAGGTGGGAAAATATGTGTCTACTAAATTGGAATAATATGTGTTTGAGTTTGCTCTTAATATCATAGACAAAGGGAAGTTTGAAGAGGCAAATCGTTTGGTACTACTGCTACTACATATATTGGTTGCAACCAACTCTTTGTTCATTATGATTTTAGGGTACATTTCATCAATTGTCCCTTGTACATGTACCAAAATGCACATTTGGTCCCTATTTTCAAAAATTAATTCGGGTCGTGTTTGTTCATTATGATTTTAGGGTAAATTTCATCAATCGTCCCTTGTACATGTACCAAAATGCACACTTGGTACCTATTTTCGAAAATTAATTCGGGTCGTCCCTCGTGTCGTAAAAAGTTGCATGCTTCGTCCCTAATGTCATAAAAAGACTATTTTACCCCTATCATTTTCTTTTTTCATTTATTTATTATGTATTTCTTATTAATCTATTAAAAATTATATAATAAATTATTTCGGCCCACCCCTTTAGAATACCAGATGATCATCTTTCTCTATTCTCTCGTATATCTAAAACCTACACCCAACCACCACCCACCACTTATCACCGTCGCTCCACCAGAATCCACCGCTCCAAGACACCTCCGACGGCGCCATCAAACCATCACACACTCCTCTCATCTCTCCACCCGACTCCAACCACCTGTTGTTGGCCCTAGTTCTATCGCACCGGAAAACACGACAACGTCGACGAACTTCCAGCCACCTCTATAAACTCCAACAACCCCCTCTCTCCACTTACCATCCTCACTCCATCGGGAACCACCAACAGGTTAAATGACCTGATACGATCTATGCAGTTGATGATGACGATCGTGTAGATCTGAAACAGTGACGTAGATCTGAGGCGTTGGCATAGATCTGAGACGACAAATATTTTCAGGCGCTACGGTTTCAGGCGAATAGGTGGCGATGACGACTCTAGGATTTCATGCGAACAGGTGGCGATGGCAGCGCACAAGGTGTGAGACTCTAGGAGACAGTGACTTTGACGATTAGGGAGGCGGAGTAGTTCCTGGCGATGGCTTTCACGATCCATGCCCTTTGAAACCCTCATCTGAGACCCTAGGCGGCGATACAGTTGGCGAACCTAAAACGTTGGTTCGAAACCCTCCTCGACGGAGATCTTAAAGGTGAGACTTGGGGTTATTCAGATCGGACAAGGTGTAGCAGATCAGAGAAGAAAGAGGAGGAGAGAGATATGTAGTATTCAGATCGAAGAATAAAGAGAGAAAGAAGCAGTGGTTCTGAATACCCCATCGATGGTGGTAGGCGGTTTTCCGGTGATGGTGGTGCGTAGTGCTCCAACGAAGGTCCAATGGTGGTGGTGGTAATGGACAATGAAAAAGAGGGATAATAGTATATTAGTTTGAATTTTTTTTTCTATTTTCTATTTTCTATAAATATAAAATAAATTATAATTATATTAAAAAGAAAATAATGAGGGCAATATAGTTATTTTATATTTGGATTAGGATGCTACATGCAAATTTAAAATAACAAAGACGATGAACTTTTTTAGAATATAAGGACGGTCCGAATTAATTTTTGAAAATAAAGACTAATATGTTTTGGCAACTGGATTGGTGTAATTTACCCATGATTTTAATTCTTGATATATTTATGAGTTTGTCTATGTTACGTGATAAAAAAAACACGTTTTGTATTAACATGCGTAGACTAATTAAAACTCACGTATCAAATACCACGACACTAGAAGAAGGAAAAAAAAAAAAAAAAAAAAACTACATACGTCGATGTCTTCTTCGCTTGCAAAAAAAATTCCAACTTCTCTTCTTCTTCACCATTTTCCTCATTTCATACTTCATATTCTCACACTCCCTTTCAAGCTCAACAACACGCTCCCTCACCTCTCCGATCCCCTGCGATCTAACAACTTCACCATCGTTTTTGTTATTGTTCATTTGATCCTGCGACTGCGGGTTCTCAAGGTTTTCCGATACAAAAAACCACCCGGCGATCGACGTCCGCAGCCGTAACTGTTCAAAAAACAGAACCTGAACAATAACACGAAGAGGAAGCCTCTCATTCTGAGCCGCATGAGTACTCGCATCCAACGACAGTTTCTGAATGTTCATCAGTCTGCAGATCTGCTCTCGCTCACAGTCTGTCAGCCATGGATGCGCCTGTAACAATAATAATAACGTTCCTCTTCCAAACAATTAAACAAACCCTAATTCATAAAATTAACCTAATTTTCGAATTCATACCTTTAAAAAGATATCCAATGCACGATAAATCCCATCGGATTGAGGGCGGGCGTAATCGGGAACAGCACCCGCGAGCGATTGGAACTTTGATAGCTTCATGTTAACGTCAGCCGCCACGTCAGAAAGAAACGAGTCAACAAGATTGGCGACAGATGTCAAGGAAGTCAAAGATTGGGGAACATCTTCTAACCCTTCTTCGATTATACACGGAGAACACTGTGTGCTAGTTGTATCCATGGCCATGGACATGAAGTAATCAAGAATCCTTTGAAAACAATCGATGTCATACAGAGTATCAACAGAGTTAAATCCTTGATTCGGTATCAATATATCATCTAAAACAGCTGAATCCAACTGGGCTCCGACCCGTTTCTCAAGATTTTCCCTACAAGATGGAGACACGTGTAACACCAACGCAGTGCGAAGGAGTCTGATAAGAAACTTAGTGCCAACAATCCGTTTTCTGTTCGGAAGCAACTCAACAATTTCTTCCAATAATGCCCTTTGATCTGCTGCTGAAGGCGCAGAAACTGGTTTTGAATGGCTTGCATCGTTGAAACTTGATTGTCTGTTCATTAATGGGATGTATTTCTTCGCATACCCCACAAGAGAACCCGCTATTGTTTCAGCTTTCATGCCTTGAGACTCCATGGCCTGAATCAGTCGTTTATATAAATGTAAACCAAGAAAGGAGACATCTTTATACCACCAGTCATCACCGAATGTATGTGGTTTATTTGAGGTGGGAACTCCATTCCAGATTATAGAGGTCTGTGTGATGTTATTGACTGGTGACGTGGCAGTGGGAGGGGGGTTGTATGGGTTCTGACCTGAACAAGCTTTTATAGCTAAAGAATCTATGCAGCGTGAGATGAGGTTGAGATCTTCTGCATCTGAAAGAACTTCTTCACAGCTTTCAAGAGCATCCATGGTGTCTGACCAGGTGGTGAACACTTGTTGTAGGAAGGTCTCTGTTTGTGTGATTAGGTTTTCTTCTCCATAATCATCTGTCATTTGGAGGTAGTCTGAAGCACATCGAAGGCTGATAACATTGTGGGAAGTGAGTTCTAGCTTTATGCAATAACAAAATTTGGCTATAAGTTCAAATGCTTTACATCCACCAGGTATGTCATTCAGATGGACACTACAAATTGGGCCATCTTCATCAGGATTGTCTCCTATTAGCTTTGCTAATAGCCCACTTCTTGAAATCAGAGGAAACTGTATAAAATAAAATGTCAACTAAAACATATGAAACAACTACTGTCTACTGTGTTTACATAAATTGATTACAGACCTTGTGGAGATTAAATGATGTTTCTCCAATCTCAATTGTGACATCACTTGGAAGCCCACTGGTACACTGCCTGAAGAGGAAAGAAAGAACAATGTAAATGATGCGTCTCAAATGTTAACTGATCACATTAATGATAGAAGTGTAAGAAGAAAGAGATCATTTATCAGTGGGCATGCATGTTAAACAAATCAATCAAGACAGATAGTTCATTGATCGTCTTTAATGGTACACGATGACTACACGAGTTTAGGGTTTCCTAGATTATACTGCGAATATTGTCAATTTTCGATAAAATCAGGAACAATTTTGTATGGAGAAGTACTGCGATTCACATAAAAAAAACCGAACTGATGTTCTATTCTTTTAACGAATACAGTGGCTATATGTGAAACTTAACCAATGTCATGAGAATTTGCGAATTTTGGGTAGTAATAGCATAAACACCTGATCGAGAAGAGGTCGAATTAAACAAATCTGGTTTTACACCAGGAAATAGTAAGAATTGAGACAGAAACATGTATCAATCGATGTATCAAAAGGAAATCGAGGAAATCTGTAGATAGTTGAGTAGAATACCATGTATGGTCTTCAAGGCGAAATATATCAGGTTTTGTGCCAAGCTTCATACAAGCCATTTGTAAATGTCAATGGTATTCTTCTTCTTCTTCTTCGTCTGGACTTGAAGAAACATAGATCAAGTGAAAGAATTGAATCACGGAAGATGATTTTTCTGGAAATAATCTTCATAATTTTGAGATCTAGATAGCGAGTGTGCGTGTGTGTGTCCGAGTCTATTGGAGTGACCAAAGAGAGGGGGAGTTCAGTTACTCTTTATTTATTTTTCTTTATTATTATTCTTTTTTGATATACTGGTTTTCTGGCTTCTGCTTAACATAAAAGTTAAAAAGTGAATAGGATTTTACAAAATAATAACTAAGTATATTTTATAGTTACATTACATAATCTGGGATAATTAAATTTCATTAATAGGTTTAAATCAACAATTGCATTAAATAATGCATAAAGGATATCAATACTAATATCACTACTCACTAGCATATATATCTTACGTTACATCATCAATTTTAATGAATTTTCTGTTTTAAAAATATTATGATTTTGCATTCTCAATTTCATAATTGTGTTTGTTTGAACATCTTTTAAGAGTTTTGGATGATGGCGAACTCAAAAATGGCAATATATTATACTTCTACGAATCCAAAAAATGGCAAAGTATTGGTTAGCAAAAATTAACAAGTGACTAGAAATCAATATCTATCAAATGGAATAATTCAAACAAAACAAACATGCAAATGCATATGTTTCTATTCCCCAAACCTACGTCAATCTCATTTTCAAACTCTCATTGATGGTTAACAAAAATGGACTAGTGAATAGTTAGAACATGACTATCCAATTATTATATATTCTAAAAACAAGGTACTAGTATAACCATTATACTAGACTACATGATGGATAGTTAGTCTATGGGATAATGACTTGAAAGGGTAACAAACTTTCGATTTTGTTCACATTTAGTCACTAAACTTTTTTTCGTTATCTATTTGCCACTGAACTATTGAAACTGTTCACATTTTACCCTTATAACCGGTTGGTTACCGGTCATAAGGGTAAAATGTGAACAATTTCAATAGTTCAGTGGCAAATAGATAACGAAAAAAAGTTTAGTGACTAAATGTGAACAAAATCAAAAGTTCGTTTCCCTTTAGAAAAGTTCAATGACTAAATGTGAACAAACTTCATATTGTATTATGTTTTAGCAAATTATTTATTTTTGTTAAATTCTAGCAACATTTGATGATGAAGAAATCTATGAAATAAAAAAAACAAAACCCCGAAAATATATTAAAAAAAACGAAAAAACCGAAACCGAAATAAAAAACCAATGGTTTGGCATTTTCCAAAATAAAAAATCAAAATTTCCAATCTGATTTAGGTTTTACAAAAAAAATGAACCATTTTCACTGATGTGAATTATGACCATTGGTTTGGAGATGCATTCGACTATGAAAGGTGTTTACAAAAAAAGGATCTAAATCTAAATCTACATAATTAACACACTGATACTCTCAATGTTACATATCTCAAGCACACCTCTACATGTGGTATGAACCCACCTTATATAGAGGTGTTTACATGTCTCTCTCTCTATCTCTCATGTCACAAGGGGGAGGTTTGGATAGAAAAATTCCGAATTGAGCGCTTTCCCATTCCCTTTTTGGTTTTATAATCATTTTTCGATTATAAAAAAGGGGAAGAGATTTAGATATGGAAATCCGAAAGTTGAATTTTTGTAAAACCAAAATCAGATTGGAAAATTGTGATTTTTTATTTTGGAAAATACCAAACCATTGGTTTTTTATTTCGGTTTCGGTTTTTCGTGTTTTAAATATATTTTTCGGGGTTCTGTTTTTTTCTTATTTCATAGATTTCTTTATCAACAAATGTTGCTTCAATTTAACAAAAACAAATAATTTGCTAAAATATAATACAAGAGGAAGTTTGTTCACATTTAGTCATTGAACTTTTTTAAAGGGAAACGAACTTTCGATTTTGTTCACATTTAGTCACTAATTAAACTTTTTTTCGTAACAACCGGTCATAAGGGTAAAATGTGAACAGTTTCAATAGTTTAGTGGCATATACATAACGAAAAAAGGTTTAGTGACTAAATGTGAACAAAGTCGAAAGTTCGTTACCCTTTCAAGTCATTATCCCTTAGTCTATACATGCACCCTCTTTTGGGGAATATCTCAAACCCGTTTGGAGAGGTGTTACCACTGAATGGAAGGGTTGGACGGAGGTCAGAGGAAGAGGAGGATGGAGAAAATGGAGATAAGTAGATGAGGGGAAATAATTACAAAGCTTTAATCGGTTCCCTTATGGTTGAAGGTCCATGCCAACCACCTAAATTGGCCAGAAATATGGAATCAACGGGAGGAAGAGAATGAAACAATGGAGTTAGGGTTGGTTTCCAGAGGAAGCAGTGGTAGGATCTGGTGGTGGTAGGTAGTGGTGGTGGTGACAGACAATAGGGGATGATGTGGTAGCCGACGATAAAGGATAAACTGATTCATGTCTGGTGTCATTTCTGGTGATACCTTAAGCAAATGAGGCTGATTAAGGCTACAAAAAGCTTTGATTATAAGTCATATTGAATGGTTCTTGAAGAAATTCATATTATGAAACCAAAATTTCCATCAAAAAGCATACTAAGAACAACAATCATCGAAAATTTAAAAAGAAAAACATATATTCGATTTCATTATTGTTCTAACAAAATCTGATTTTAGGTTGGTTAGCCTCAATCTCATCCAAAATGATACAAATATAAGATGTTTAAAATGATTTCCAAACAAATGTAAGATTTCCAAATGAAATAAACAAAAAGTCACAACAACATATCAAATGACCCAATTCAAATGTGGTAAGGAGACATAAACGTTGATGGTTATGACCCCGTTCAAAACAAGAGAGATTGTTTAACAATTATGACCTACGGTGTATGAAAAACACAGAACGTATTAAAAGAGAATATATAGAAATGAGGAATGTTTATGTTAAGAGATGAGCACGTGATGTGCACATCTTGTATATTATCTAGAATCCTCTCACGCCACATATGTATAGTATCTGGTCAATTCTTGTTGTTAGTCTTCCTTATTTATCTCACAATTAGCTGTAGCATCAATATATATACATCATTGTATATCCTTCTGTAAATACACCTTGAATATATATAAAATACTCTTTCCGTATTCTCTTCTTTTCTTATATGGTATCAGAGCTCGGCTCAGTACATACCACACCAGAAAACTCACCGCCTCCCTCTCCAAAACAAATGGGAATCAACGACGACACCTCTTCTTCTCTTATCGTCAATACCACACTCAAAGACATCACTATTGTTAATTTCCCAACAACCCTAAAACTCACATCCACCAATTACCTTGGATGGAAGACTCAGATTGAAGCTCTACTACACGGCCTTGATCTGTATCGATTTATAGAAGGCTCACACCTTGCACTTGCACCAACAATCGCCGCTGATGGAACAAGCACACCCCACACAGACTATCTAAAATGGTTCAGGCAAGATCGACTTCTCTTTTTGGTGCCCTAGTCGGAACTCTTTCTCCTGAAATTGTACCACTAGTAACAAATGCATCCTCTTCCTGCGAAGCCTGGATAACCCTAGCCAGTACATATGCCTCTCCATCAAGAGGACACATCAAACAACTACAACATCGACTGAAACAACTCACCAAAACCTCCAACCAAACCATCACTCAGTATATGCAAAGTGTCAAAACAGTGGTTGACGAGCTTGCTATCCTTGGGAAGAAACTTGATCAGGAGGATATCACTGATGCAGTTGTCAATGGGCTTGATCAAACAGCTTACAAGCCGATACTTGATGCTCTTCATGCAAGAGACTCACCCATATCCTTCACTGAATTACATGAAAAACTAATAAATCATGAATTGTCTATTGCTCAACAGGTCTCCAATGTTGATATTCATCAACCTGCTGTTGTTTTCTATTTAAACCACCAGACCACTAAGAAAACATGGCCTCCTCGACAACCAACCACCGCACCTGGCTTACTTCCTACACCCTCAAAACAATCTAATCAAACCTCCTCACCCACTGGACAACGTCCATTCTTGGGTAAATGCCAATGGTGCCATAATAAGGGTCATTCTCTTAGTAATTGTTTCACCTTTAAGAAGCTTTTTCCAGCAGCCTCTGTACCACCTCCCAATCGCAACCTGCAGGTTAAAAACGCACAGGCACACATGATGATTCCACAACAATCATCACCATCCAACACTGCCAACTGGATTTTTGATAGTGGTGCTAGTTTTCATGCCACCAAAATGACCTTAATAACTTGTCAATTCATGCACCATATGATGGAACAGAGGAATTAGTTATTGGTGATGGTTCGTGTCTACAAATCTCTCATATTGGCTCAGTTATTCTCCAAACACCGCACACACAACTCATACTCAAACATGTCCTATATGTTCCTACTCTTTCTCAAAATATCATATCTATTTCTCGTTTATGTGCTGATAACAAATTTTTAATAGAATTATATTCCTTTGTTTTTGTCATAAAGGATCTGCCATCCAAGATTCCACTATTCAAGGGAACCGCAGTCAAGGGAATGTATAAACTCCGATCTGCTATAAAGCCTCAAAAATCCTTGCCATGAATCGCATCACTCCAACCACATGGCATCATCGATTGGGTCATCCTCAAAATAAAGTTTTTAAGCAATTGTCATCTGTTCTTTCTTTCAATTCTAATTGTTCTGATCATTGTAACTCATGTTCTATTAATAAAAGTCACAAATTACCTTTTCATGAAACATCTCTTACATCACATGCTCCACTAGATCTTATTTTCTCAGATGTCTGGTGCTCTCCAGTTCAATCCTATGATCACTATAAGTATTATATCATTTTTGTTGACCACTTCAGCAAGTATACATGGTTGTACCCCATGGAAAAGAAATCAGATTCGCTATCTATCTTCACTCGTTTCCAATCACTTGCTGAAAATTTCTTCAACAAAAAGATCAAACAGTTTTTCTCAGACAATGGTGGTAAATTTTTAAAACTTCAATCCCAACTTTCTTCCTCAGGAATTACTCACCTCACTTCACCGCCTCATACTCCATAACACAACGGATATGCCGAAAGACGACATAGGCATATTGTAGAAACAGGACTTGCATTGCTTTCTCATGCAAACATCCCAAATACCTTCTGGCCATTCGCCTTCACCACAACAA